CAGGCCCTGGGTGGGGCATGGCAGGAGGGAACAGAACATGTTCTGGGTAGCTGTGCATCTCCCAGGAGGTCGAGTCTGCAGACAGGCAAGCCACAGGGTGGATGCTGGCTGCCAGCGGTGTCCTTGGGTGGGCAGCAGGCCACAGGAGGGGTCCTCACAGTGCCAGCTCCCATTCTGGCACCCTCGTCCCTCTGCCAGCCAATGCCTCCCAACTCCAAGCTTTCAGCATCGCTGTCTGTCCCAAAGCTTTATGGGGTCAGGCGGGCCTGAGTTCAGATCCCGATTCCCGCCACTTGTAAGCTGTGTGGTCTTGGACAAGTCACTTTGCTCTCAAAGCTTCCGTTCCCTTATCTGTAAAATGAAGAAATGAGAACACCGATTGTGCCCTGCCGGTTGCTGTGAGGTTGCAGTGGAACAAGCAAGGCCAGCCTTTCCTGTCACAGATGGGGGCTGTTACCCTTGCGGTTGTTCCTCCAGCGCGTGTGCATCTCCCAGTCTAGCCCCTGCCCCTGGCACCGTTCAGCCTCCAGGCCGCCGGGGCCAGTGGCTGATCCAGCAACTGTCCACGTTAACAAAGTCAACAACACGGTGTCCTCTGCTGCCGTAATGCTGCGTAAATAGGAAAGGAGCTGAGACAGCCCAGCCGTGCTGTCCCAGTTGACACAACAGCTCCCAGAGCTGGCCGTCTGAGGTGGGTGGCCACACGCGGTCAGCATCTGGGCGCCATCCACGGTTTACAGCAAACCCGGCTGGGCGCATCTCACCCACTCCAAGTGGGGCCTTGCCGTGGAGACAGGCTCAGCTTCAAGGGCACTTCAGTGGTCCAGTCCTGAGCTGAGAGGCTCTGACGCTGCCCCCGGTCACCGTCAGGGAGGTGGGAAGGCTTCCCTGAGGCCACCCAGCTGTTGGTGGCAGGGCCAGGCTTCCCAGTCTCCTGGCTCCGAGCCCCACACTCTCCCACTTCCACCACAGCTGCATGTCACGTGGCAGAGCTGGCCGGGCCCCCAGGCCGTGGGGCGGGGCCGCCGGCGATGGGACCTGGGACAGATGTGCCACCGCGGGAGGAGGTGGACGACACGGCCACGGTGTAGTGGTCAGTCCTCCTGGAGAATGTTGGCCCCAGGGGGGATACTAGGCAGGGAGAGCCATGGCTGTATTGCCTCTGGGTTCAGCTGTGCCCCGTCCTGCCTCGCCTGCTGCTGGGCTCCAGGGGACCCTGGGCTGAGGTCAGAGAAGGACTGAGAGTATGGCCACGTACACCCACTGATGTGTGTTCGAATCCTGCCTCTGCCACTTCTCAGCTGTGTGGCCTCAGACAAGCGGTGCCGAGCTCTTAGCTCGTTTCTTCCTCTGTAGAAATAAAATGAGTGAAGTGAAGTTGCTCAGTCGTGTCCGACTCTTTGCGACCCCATGGACTGTAGCCTACCAGCCTCCTCCGTTCATGGGATTTTCCAGGCAAGAGTACTGGAGTGGGTTGCCATTTCCTTCTCCAGGATATCTTTCCAACCCAGGGATCGAACCCAGGTCTCCCAATTGCAGGCAGTTGCTTTACCATCTAAGCCACCAGGGAAAGATATAAATAAAGCCTCCCTGAAAACAGAATGGTTGTTACAAATCAACCAACAGGGCCAAGCTCTTAATTTAGGAGCTGGCACATAGTGAGCACTCAGACTCAGATTATAATCATCACTTGACTCCCAGTGTCTCTTTCTTCAGCTCCCAAATGAGGATAAGAATGTACTTCATAAGGTTATCTTGTGGGCTGAAGTAGGCCTGCATTCATACCTTCCTTCTTTCAGCTGACGTTCACCAGGCAGCTCCTGTGCGCTCTGTTCCAGCTGCTGGGACTTAAGCTCACGGAGCAAGACATTTCCTCCTCGGAAAGGTTTACATAAAGTCTGAAGTGGGCATCAGACAGCAGATACATGAACAGTCCCCATAAGTATCTAATTGTGGTGAGCACTGGCCCAGTCCAAGTGGGAGTGGCTATTCTGATGATTTCATCACAGTTTAGGCTTTTAAATATTGCCAGTTATGGACTGATGACAATACTGAGAATTTTCCTGGACTTACGCAGTGTTAACTGTAGATTTCCTGCTTTGGGAGCAGTTTTTGTTGTGGGAGTGATGAGTAGTCTAGATGCAGGCTCTATCAGGTGGTGCCGAGGATTGGGGTCTGGCCAGGGGGTCTCCTTTGGGAGGTCCTCTCCATCCTCACGTGTGGTGGCCTCAGCCTGTACTCTCAGGTTGGGGGAACGGATAAGTTTCATGGAGTGGGGTGATGAACAACTCTACTGTGGGGTTTGCTCTCATGAAGTAATGAGCTCCCCGTGGCCCCAGGAGACAGGCAGGGGCTGGGGGGGAGATGGTGTTCGGCTTCTCCTGGCCTCTGTTTGCAGAGTCGGGACCTGAGAGGATGCAGAGAAGCCAGCCCTGGTCCTCACAGGGCGGCGGAGGGTGAGCCTTCCATGTGAGGGTGTTATTCAAGAAAAGGTGACTAATTCCATGACCACTGAGTGAGTTGGAACAGGCGCTGGAGCCAGATAGACCTGGGTTCAAATCCAACACAATCTGAGGCCTCAGGCCAGTTTCTTAATCTCTCTGAACTCTACTTTGCTCCTCAACCCTCACCACGGGGTCGATGGGAGGATCACGGGAGATGAGGAGGTTCCAGTCTTGTAGCAGATTCCTAGGAAGCATCGTTCCTCTCCGTCTCCCACATCCTGCTCCTCGGGGCCCCTGCTCCTGGGCCGAGGTTCACTCTGCTGCTGAGCCGGTGGGTTTGGTCTGCGCAGCGTGTCCCTTATCCCCTCACCTCCTGCTCAGCGCTAGGGGACGCTTTCTGTTGTGGTTCAAGCCTTAATGGAATTTTCAGGATCGCCATTGCCGAATCCTCAGGGAGATGACCAAGTTAGATTTTTCAAACGGGAAGAGGAAAAACACAATCAAGAGAAATCATGAACCTGTGGGGTTAAACCTTCCGAACTTGGAGCTTCGATACAAGGGAAATGATTTCTACTTTTTTTAAATTTTGGAAACATGGTGCCACTAGAAAGAAAGGAAGTGGAAATGACTCCTAGGAGAAGTACTAGCATATGTTTCTGTGATTTAACAGTTTCCCGTAAAAAACGTGTAGCTATTTTAAAAGCAGACGAGTGACTCATGGTATCCTGCAGCAGCGGTCCACTGTGATGGCAGGAAGCACGTTCTCTGGGGAGCCAGGCTTGGGTTCAGCTCCCATCCCTGTCGCTTACCAGCTGTGTGACCTGGAGCAGGTTACACATGCTCTCTGCATTTCCTTTTCCTCCTCTGTGAAATGGGTTTTATAAAGACGAATGACATCGTGAATGTAAAAGTCAGTGCAGTGCTGCCCAGCCATGCAGAAAACCCACAACTTGCCTATTAAGTACCTGGTTAGTTACATTTGTTGTCATTGTTAGTAGTTTAATAGGAAACTTCCAAGGCTATAAATTTTCCTCTGATTACCACTTTGGTCTGATCTCATAAGTTTTGTTACATAGTGTTCTTATTGTTGTTGCATAGTCTTTGCATAGACTTATTTTAGATTTCTTATTTTTTTCTGTGAGAGTTCCTTATGAGTGTGTGTTTAAAAAATGGTTAGAATTTTTTCTATATTTATTATTAAATCCTAGATGTAATGTAAGGTCAAAGAGAACAGATAATATGGCATTTATTTTTTGGAATTTATTGAGCTTTTTTTTTTAATAGACTAGCATATAATCAGTGTTTGTAAGCATTCCATGAGTATTTTAAAATAATTGTCTTTTTATTTATATAACACCAAGCTTTTAATTCTGTTACTTAGATACATTCATATAGAACACATACATACATATATCTATAGATACATGTATATGAATATATTTTTGTATGTACATACATATGTGCACACACACACACACACACACACACAAATTCTAGACATACCAAAAGCCACCTCCATAGTTGTGGCTTTGTTGAATCCACTTTTGATTTTTGGCACTTTTTTGCTTTGTATATTTTGGTGCAGTATAGCTTTGTGCATAGAAGATAGTAATCATTAGATCTTCTCAATAGCCTATGCCTTTAATTAATATCAGCCATTCCTCTTTGCCTCATTCAATGTTTTCTGCCTTCAGTTCTGCTTTGCATCACTGCTTGTGCACTTCACCAGTGTTATGGGTTTAGTGGCAGCACTCTGGAGGGAGCTGCTGGAAGGCCATGCCACCCGTTGTGCATGCACACCTCAAGATTCTGAATGTGGGCCTCAGCAAGCCAGTCAGCTGGACTGCGCTGCACAGCCAGTCCTCTTCCCCCATCTCTGGCCAGTCAGCTTGTCCTGAATTCCCCTTGGGGTGATGCCATGAGGCCGTGCTGAGGCGCCCTACCGGCCTATCACAGCAATGTTTTTACATCACACGTTATTTTCTTATTAAGCACCCTCAGCAGGAGAATTCTCTGTCTAGCCTTACTTCTTTATACCAAGGACTATTGCTTTTTTGATTTCTTCTTTTGTTCCTTTATTTATGATTTGGTATGTATGTGTGTGTGTGTGTGTGTGTGTACATGTAAGGACAGATAGATAAACAAATAGACAAACAGTTAAGTGGATAAACGAAAACCTGAATTTAAACAGTGTTCTCCTGGGTATGACACCTTAGACCTACTAAACTGCAGTGGTTGGTAAAACACAAGTATTCATTCATCCCTTTCATGTCCTGTTATTTTCCAGCTGGGTTACAGGGAATAACCCTTGTTGCTGGAAGAGTGTAGGAACTCAAAATGCTAAAATCTTGCCAGCATTCATTTTGGTTGTTGCTCAGATGTTTGATTTACAGTTGAGCAGTTTATGTGGACAGTTAGTAGTCAGGACTGGAATTGAAGTCCAAATCATATTGCAGTTTTCATAAGTCACCATGTACCTTCTAGCAGAGCAGTTCTGTTTTGTGCCATTCTGATTAATGAACACCTTCCATCATTAAATATCTTCTTTGATTTTAGGCATCTATCTTCTGGATTTAATCTACATTGATTCTGCGTATCCTGCCTCAGGCAGCATCATGGAAAATGAACAAAGATCCAATCAGATGAACAATATTCTCCGAATAATTGCTGACTTACAAGTTTCCTGCAGCTACGGTTAGTCCCCCTAGTTGTTGGGGTTGTGAAATCTTTTGGGTGCAGCACCTTATCAGTGAGAAAGTTCTAAAGACCAGGTAGTCCCTGCCCAAGGGTCTTCATTTTGATATCTGAGCATCAAATGCATGCTGGATCCATTGCAAGCATGTTTGATCTTCAAAGACCATGCAGACTAGATGTTACCATCCCTGTATCACAGATGGGGAAACTGAGGCTGAATATAGTGTGGTCACCTGTCTAAGGTCACACACCTAGTCAGTGGCAGAGACAGGTCTTTCACCCATGAAGAGCTCTGTGGGCGGATCCTGGGTAACTCTCCTCCAAGCAGATTCTGAGATTCGGGCTCCTCTGTCATGTGGTTCCACTGTGTCCCATGGCCCCGAGTCCTCCACTGAAGTCTGCATCCAGCTAGCAGATGCAGAAGAGAGAATCATACAAAAATGGGACTTCTGGGCCAGACTTGCTCATGGCGCTCATTGCTTCTGTCCAGCAAAGCTAGGAATGCAACGTAGCTGTGGGCCTAGAGGGAAAAGAGCATTGACTTGGTCAACAGCTAGCCAGGCTCTGCCACACATGACCGGATCCAAAGGGTGACCTTGATGATGTGCATCTGAGATGGATGGAGGAGATGTTGTTGGAGACGCTGATGGGCCAGCCACATGGACCCTGGGGGATGGGCTCAGCCGGGAGCCAGGTACCTGGGTCCTCCAGGAATGGGCCGGAGTGACCAGGGCGCCACGTGGCAGAAGTCACAGGGACGAGAGGAAGGGTGGTACAGCTGCGGTAATGTGTCTCCGTGGGGCAGAGCTTCACAGGAGGGGGAGTAGTAGAAGTCAGGAAGCAGCAGAGCGGGAGGAGAAGAGACCAACCCTACCTCCAGCACAGGGGTGGGAGAAGCCAGCTGCCTCCACGTGGGAAGGCCACTGCGGGGGCAGGGCACAAAACCCAAAGTTCCGCTCAGGGGTACCCCGTCAACAAACATTGCGGGGTGGGGGAGGAGGAGGCCCGCACTTGTAGACCAGCTCTCCCTCTGTGCAGAGAGCAGGGAGAGGCCTGAATTCCCAGGGCTCTTTCCACTTCCTGGGGCCTCAGCATTGGTCCTGCTGGCCAGCAGAGCAATTACAGACTCGGCTTCAGGGTCAGACAGATGCGGCTTCATGTCTCAGCCCTGCCTCTTGAAAAGTCTGTCTTCTCTGAGGTTTTCTCATCAGTGACAACAGGGAGGTGTGTGTGCAGGGCCCTTGCCCCAGCCTTTCATCAGAGCTCAGGAAACGCTCACTCTTACCGCTGTTCTGTGTACCTATATCTCCCCCCTCATCAGCGTTGTGAAGCAGGTATTCCTATCCCCATTTCAGAGACCAGAACACTGAGGCCCTAGAAAACCGAATGACCCCTGATAATCTCACGGTTACTGGGCAGAGCCATCAGGGGCTCATCTTGGCACCCGGATCCACTGCCAACCCCCACCCCAGCCCAGGAAAGCAGTGGTCCTTCCCCACCCTCTTTTCTGCTCCTCTGCAAAGCCTCCTCCACTGTCTCCACCTCCCTCCTCAACCAGCTCTGTCCCAGCCGGTGGGGAATGGCAGAGAGAGGATCAGGGAGAGTGTGGGGACCCCTCAGAAAGAGTGCAGTGACCATGATGGTCGGAGGAGAGCACTTGACATCAGTCAGCCCGGGACAGAGAGACAGCGCAGTGTGGCCGAGGCCACAGGTGACTCAGGTCAAAACTTCTCAGTGGAGTGACCTTGCAAGTTACGGTGGCTTCCTCCTCTGCACATCTTATTCCTGGGAATAAGGCAGGTGCAAAGGTTGAGGCCAGATGGCTTCTAGAACAGGCACAGAACAGGTGGTCAAGCATCTTGGCCCCTCCCTATCTTCTCAGGATGCAGCAGCCAGGCTCTCAGGCTGCGCCCAGGTCTGGGTTTGGGTTGTTCACCAGGCTGGACAGGATCCATTCATTCTTGTCACATGGAGGGGATGGGGTAGGTGAGGGAGACTGGTCCAATTATTCCAGTGGAAACCTGTTTGAGGGCACACACCTGGCTCTAGTCTGTTCTGGAGGCCATCTTTCCCCACCCACACCCCCTGCCAAGACCCATCTTTGCCCAGCCAAGGAACTCTGGTGACCTCAGGGTGTGGGGTCTGTGGCCCAGCCATCTGGGGGGGGGGGCATGCCTCGAGGGTCCACTCTGTGCCCAGTGCCCAGCACAGGCCTGGCCCAAAGGATCATCAGCAACTGTTGAAGGACTGCCTATGTGTCTCAGTCCTGTCTCGTGTGGGGCCCAGAGACCGGGAGAGACTGAAGCCTCTGGGTCTTGTTCTCCTCCTGCAGACCACCTCACCACCCTGCCCCATGTGCAGAAGTACCTGAAGTCCGTGCGCTACATCGAAGAGCTCCAGAAGTTTGTGGAGGACGACAACTACAAGTGAGTGCCCACCCTGCCCCCGGCCACGTGTGCAGCAGCGCCCGTGCCCCCACCCCAGCACGTGCGTGTTCAGTGACCTCGGACCCCACAGAGCCCAGAGCACGGCTGCTGAGCATCTCCTCCCACCCCGGCCCGCCCCCCACAGGCCCCCTCAGACCAAGGACGGTGTTCCATCAGCTTCTCAGCGTGGCTTTTTCCAATGGGGAGGGTAAAATTGGGGCTCCACAGCTCCAGGTTCTCATGACGGACTCCCCACTCAGAGCGCTGAGTGGAAGGGCAGCTACCTAAAGTCATCGCCGGGCTGCCAAACAGAGTTCTCGAGAGCCTGTTCATGGACAAGGCAGCTCCCTGGGGTCCCCACTTGCTGCTGGACTCTCGCCACCTGGCGCTGGTGGAGGCTCCATCTCCATTCCATGCAGCCCATATGAATATACCCAGTTCCCGTGAAGACCCCGGTGGGCCCTCTGGCCTCGTCTCCCACTCACCTGCTCTGGCTTTCAGTTCTCTCTTCATCTGTGGCAGCTGGGAATTTATCCAGGATTTCTATGTAATTAGAGGGAGAAGGAGAACTTTTCTTTTCTTTTTTGGTTTTTTTTTTTCCATTTATTTTTATTCGTTGGAGGCTAATTACTTTACAACATTGCAGTGGTTTTTGTCATACATTGAAATAAATTAGCCATGGATTTACATGTATTCCCCATCCCGGTCCCCCCTCCCACCTCCCTCTCCACCCGATCCCTCTGGGTCTTCCCAGTGCACCAGGCCCGAGCACTTGTCTCATGCACCCAACCTGGGCTGGTGATCTGTTTCACCCTAGATAATATACATGTTTCGATGCTGTTCTCTTGAAACATCCCACCCTCGCCTTCTCCCAGAGTCCACAAGTCTGTTCTATACATCTGAGTCTCTTTTTCTGTTTTGCATATAGGGTTATCGTTACCATCTTTCTAAATTCCATATATATGTGTTAGTATACTGTAATGGTCTTTATCTTTCTGGCTTACTTCGCTCTGTATAATGGGCTCCAGTTTCATCCATCTCATTAGAACTGATTCAAATGAATTCTTTTTAATGGCTGAGTAATATTCCATGGTGTATATGTACCACAGCTTCCTCATCCATTCGTCTGCTGATGGGCATCTGGGTTGCTTCCATGTCCTGGCTATTATAAACAGTGCTGCGATGAACATTGGGGTGCACGTGTCTCTTTCAGATCTGGTTTCCTTGGTGTGTATGCCCAGAAGTGGGATTGCTGGGTCATATGGCAGTTCTATTTCCAGCTTTTTAAGAAATCTCCACACTGTTTTCCATAGTGGCTGTACTAATTTGCATTCCCACCAACAGTGTAAGAGGGTTCCCTTTTCTCCACACCCTCTCCAGCATTTATTGCTTGTAGACTTTTGGATAGCAGCCATCTTGACTGGAGTGTAATGGTACCTCATTGTGGTTTTGATTTGCATTTCTCTGATAATGAGTGATGTTGAGCATCTTTTCATGTGTTTTTTTGCCATCTGTATGTGAGAAGGAGGACTTTTCATGTTGAGTCTGTCCACCATATTTTTTTTTCCTGCTGAATTGTTCTTGGAGTATAGTACCTTTACATGTCCCCCATATCAGTTGGACATCTTGGTTCATTTTGAGCTTGAGGTCAACTCAGAACCTCAGGGCTTTTCACACGGCCTATTATCAAGGCTAGTCTTGGATGTCATGTAATTGATCAATTTCCCCCTCTAAACACCAGCTTTGCATGTGTTCTTTTAAATCTTGTCTTATTGGTTGCTGCCAGTAAAGTGTGCATAATCTCTTTGAATCCTGCTCTCCAATGTATTTTTTAATCTCTTCCAGTTTTATGTTTAAAAATGTGGTCAGCTTGATGATTTGCTCTTCATCTAAGTTGTTGGAAACTGGCCACTAGGGACACCTTCAGGTTACCCGTTTTCATTCACCAAGACCTTGGGAATGGCTGCTGAAGTAATACCACTCTCACCAGCTCTGTGGCAGTGGGTTTCAGCCCTGACCGTGGGCCAGAGACACTTGGAAAGCCTTCTAGCCACCCAGATGTCTGGGATGGGGCCTGGAAATCTGTGTTTGTTTCCAAAGCTCCCAACATGGTCCTCCTAATGGTTGGCTGTCTTTAGAAATATAGAAGTGATACCTTTAGTTGTTATTGTACAATATTTTGTTAAAATAGAATGTAATACATTTTGATCTATTAAATAATCATAACAGCAATAGATCAGGGCCAGAGATGACCATTCAAATTATGTTTGCCACAAATTGCTCGTTGTTACTTACAAAGCATTTCCTGTTCCTGAAAAGAGTACCCTGGAGTGGGAAACTATTCCTAGTTAGCTTCTGGGATAATATTTTCCATTCATGTGCCAATAATTTTATTTAAAAGACAGTAGTTTTTCATTAACACTAATATACTTTAAGGAGAAAAATGGTCCATAAATACTTCTGACCATGAGCTAATCCTTGGACAAGCTGCAAACTGTGAGTAATTACTCCTACCATTCTGAAGGACAGTGAACAACCCTAGCACTTAATGCCTGGATTTCACAAAGGCCTTTTGTTGTGGTCCAAGTGGGCACACCCAGGGAGGAAGGCTGTGTTCTTGTCCCGGGCCCAGACCACTGAGGGGGTCCCTTCCTAGGAAGGCCCTGGATCTGAGTGACAAAGGATGCCCAGGGCTTGTGACTCTGCTGGAGGAACCCATGCTCCATGGCCCAGTGCACACCCAGAGACTTGATCCCCACCTCTGAGGATGCAGGCTTCCTCTTACTTTGAAGACATTGTGCCAAGGAGCCCAGCCAGTGTTTTGTTTTCCTCAGTCTTTCATCTATTTTACTTTATTTAAGAAAAATTACCCAAATTCCTGCCACTTAAAAAGCATGACTGTTGGCATTAAATGAGCATTATTCTGAACCTTCTTCTGTGCATAGAAAGTACATATATACACATGGAGAAGGATGGATAGACAGATGGATGGATGCAAGAATAGAATTTATTGAAATTGGATTATACTGCACTTGCTATTTTTTAATTAAAACAACTTCAATTTTACTTTAACCAGAAAAAGGAACTGAAATAAAACATAAGGAATTGCCGCTCTTCAGATAAACATTTCTTTGTAAGAGATATTATTCCCTAAATAAGAGATACTATTCCCTAAAAAGAGCCTTCTAAGATTAACAGAAGAGGTCAGGAAGAACATGACGAGGTTGGAGTCCCTAAGTTCTGTTTTAACTAGATTTCCATGGTGTGCAGGGCCCATTGACTTGGGTCATAAAAGATGAGATCGTTAGCAAGCTCCACCCGCTTCCTTCACCTCCCCTGCACCACCTTCCAACTCCTCGTTAGTTATCTTCTTGTTTCTCCAAGTTTATAACATACACATCATGTTCAGGAATCATGATTCCTACTCTTTAGGAATCGTTTTAGTTAAACGTTTTCAGTTCTTACCACCTGTCACTTCTCCATTCCTGGAGTCTTTATTTTAACTCAGTCCTGTATTTAACTGGGTTTCATTGTGAAGTAGGTTTGCTCACGTCCTGCACCCTCTGATGTCTTTCATGAAAACACCTGCGTCTAACTTGCTGGGAGCCTTGGTTTCCCCTCCCGCAGGACGCAGAGAACCGGCTCCAGTGCCGTCTGACGCTGGGTGCTGCTGTAGACAAGTCTCAAGCCAGTGTAGACCTTTACCTCTTGTAAGTGACTTGTTTTGTCTACCTCGTGGGAAGAATTCCTTGAAGTTCAAAAGCCTCGCAAGGGGAATGCCTCCGAGTGGAGCTTTCCCTGGAGCGGCATGTGCTCTTTCTTCATCACAGAGGAATTCTTTTGGTTTCTATCTTTGACCACTTCTTCTGCACCATTTCTTGGCTCTTCTCTCTCCGGCGTTCCAGGAATCCATACCCTGGATGCTCTCTGCCTTTCATGTCCATCGACTTCTTTCTAATGGCTGTAATCGCCATCTCTTTCATCCTCAGTCGCTGGAGTTGGTCTGTTTCTCCTTTGGTATCCCTTCAGTCCTCTCATTTCTGTCCTTGGTTTGTTCCCTGGACAAACCCTTGGTTTGTCTCGCCTTTCATCTTTTGTGTTCCCATCTCATTTTTCAGGTTTGCTTCCATACAACCCATATTCTCAAGCACCTTGGGGGGATTTCCCCATGTCCCCTGGGGCTGCCTTCTGGGCCGAGCAATCTGGACAATGCTCTCTCCCTCCCTCTGTCCCCTTTTTCTGCGAGGATGTTTGAGTTGGCCATACTGTTTCTTTTCATCTTGCCCCCACAAGAGAGGTTTCCTCTGGCTAGTCCGCAGCTCTGATGGAAGGAGGCGCCGTCTGGTTCTGTTGCGCTGCGTGGGATGGGCTGATTTTCCTTTCACTGTGCTGAGAGGCACAGGGGTTTTCAGTCTCTGCCCTCTGTGCGGCCTGGGGACACACAGGACTCCAGCTCCTTAGAGGCAAGGAACAAGCCATCTGTTCTAGAGAAGGGGGCTCTGTCAAAAGGCCTTCATCAGTGTTTCCTCCATCTAACAGGGGGCTGAATCCCATTCCAGAAAGGGATACCCTCAGGTTTCAGATGACGCACCCCTCACCCCCCACACCATGGAGCCTGCATTTCTATCAGAGCATCCCCCACGCCGTCCACCCACCACCCCTTCCGTGTCTCTTCTGAATCTGGAGCCGCTCAGACCCCCTGAGAAGTCCGAGGTCAGGATGGGAGCTGGGCGACGTGATGGCTTGTTCAGCTACACAATCCACTTTTTCTTTCCCTGGCTACAAGCTCTTGAAGTTCGTGCCCCCTCCCTTGTTGAGTAGCAGCTGGGGGGCTCTTTTACTCCTGAGTGTTTGTGTTTGTGGTCTTGGGTGAGGGAGACTGGCATCCAACTTCACTCTGTCATTTTCAGCCAGAAGTTTCTTAATCGATGCTTTAAAGAAAAACAGTAATAACTACTATGTCATGCCTCTCTGGGGGCATCTGAGAATGCAGTGTAATGATTAAAACCCTGGCTTGGGGTCAGACAGCCCCAATCCCCTGCTCGGCCAATTGTTAGCCCCGCATATCTGGGGGGAGCTGTGTAACCTCGCTGGTCCTCACTTTGTTCATCTACAGGACGGGGATGGTGTTCCTAGTTCATAGTGTTGCCTTGAGCAGGAACACATCTGTGCCCAGCAGTGAGGGGCCACGATTACACTACTTACTGTGTCTTCCCTAGCTATTATTTCTTGGTCATGGAAACCCCCTGGGGACCTTGGAAAGCCATGTCTGTGATCTGGAGCAGACCTCAGAGCACTGCTGGCTCCATGACTGGAATAGCCCTTAGCAGCAGTCCAGTTTCCCAGGTCCCAGCTTGCACATGTCTGGTTCCCCCTCTGATACCCTAGAGCCCATCTAATCCTTTGAAAATCTTTGTTTTCAGACTGTCACTCCGAATTGAACCAGGAAGCAGCTCCCCAAGACTAGTCTCTTCCAAGGAAGATCTTGCAGGTATCGTAGCCCCTCGGGTGGGGGCAGACTCGCCGATGGCCCAGACATGGCTGCCAGGGTTGGCCTTGCCTGTGGAGCCAAAGACCGGAGTCCAGTTTGCTGTCTGGCAGCTTCAGTGTCCTTGCTCACAGCCACCTCCCCCCACCCCCTGCAGCCTGCCCAGGCTTCTGATTACACGGGTTCCTGTAGGGTACCTCTGGGCTGGGGCTCCCTGGGAGAGTCTGAGACCCAACAGAGGCAAGATCAGAGCCCAAGCTGGAGGCCTGAACTGGGTGGAAAAACCCAGGACACTCTCCAGGTCACCTGGACACTTGTCATCAGGCCTCTCGCCCAGGCTCTGGGTAACAAGCCCCAGAGGGGTGCACGGAATGCCTGGGACATTTGGTCCCACCACACACAGAGGGCTCACCTTCCTGGGGCATCGGTTTTATTCCCATATTTGGGACACATGTGGCGTCCCATAGAGATAAGAGGCCCAGGCTTTGAAGTCCAGCTGGAGCTGTGCTGCTTCCAGCTCTGTCATGGTACCTCTCCAATCCTCAGTGGCCTCATCCACAAAATGAAGGTGGAACCAGCTCTCACCGCGGGGACTGGGCCCCTCATGCTTTTAAAGCACACTGCGCACCTGTACACAATGTTGGCTGCTGTCCCAGAGTCATCTCTGGGACAGTTTCCTTTTGGTTGTTGTTCAGTGGCTAAATCGTGTCCAGCTCTTGCTGGGGCTGGTCTCTGCTCCTGTTCTGGGTGGGACCAGATTGCAGGCCGGGGTTCAATTGTACTTCTTCCTCCTGGTTTGAGCTTATGTGACACCCACCTGGGTGCCAGGCCACTGCAGTCTTGGACAAGTAACTTTACACCCTCTGGTCCTCACTTTCCTTATGCATAAGATGGGGATAATAAGCCTCCCATCCCAGAGTTGCTGGAATATCAAAATTGAAATGATACATGCAGGGCATGCGGTGTAGAGTCTGACAGGCGGTGAGTGTTTAGTGAGGAGGTGGCTGTCTCAGGCTGCTGCCTGGTGTCATGACCCCTGCCCGCGACCTGTTGACCTGCTCACCAACCACTTGCTCTCCTTTCTGGAGCCAGGCTGCTGCAGCGGTGCTGCTGCGTCCGGACCCTAGGGCCACAGGAAGCTATGTCACAGCCTCTCACTGGCCCCGCCCAGCAAGGCCTCTGCCCTGACTCCGGGGTTTCCTCCAGGTGCCTTACCTTTCCCAGCCTCTCCTGGCTCCGGTGTGTAGGCTAGCCCCTAGCCCACCCCCAGGGTCCCACGGTAACTTAGCAGAGAGAGGGAGATGCTGGTTGATCCACACAGCTTGGGGATACTGCTGTCTACACCTCAAAAGACAGAGTCCTGGCCTAAACTTGATCCTCACAGGGTTCCATGAGCCCAACAGGAAACTGTCTCCCATAGTCTCCTTTCATGTCCACTGCCTTCCACACATGGCGAATGACCCACCAGCAGAGGTGACCAGAGAGAAGTTCACTGCGCTGGTCTCGTCTCTGCCTTCTTGTTTTAGAACCTTCTCCCACTTAGTCAGCCATGTTCCTTCCTGATGCCCACATACACCTGACGGGGCAGGGAGCCATCAGAGGGGTGTAGGAGCGCTGACCACTCAAGGCTGTTTGTTCCAGAGGGAATGCCGCGGTCCTGGAGCAGAGTGGGCTTGGATACAGAGGGTTCTGCCCTTCCGTCTCCTGATCAGTCTGAATAAGAGGTCCCTGCACCCTGTCCGGAGAAGGCAATGGCACCCCACTCCAGTACTCTTGCCTGGAGAATCCCATGGACAGAGGAGCCTGGTGGGCTGCAGTCCATGGGGTCACTAAGAATCGGACACAACTGAGCGACTTCCCTTTCATGCATTGGAGAAGGAAATGGCAGCCCACTCCAGTGTTCTCGCCTGGAGAATCCCAGGGACGGGGAAGCCTGGTGGGCTGCCGTCTGTGGGGTCACACAGAGTCGGACATGACTGAAGCAACTTAGCAGCAGCAGCAGCCTGTCCGATTAGCACACCTGAACGGGATGAGCGCATCTCAGGCCTTCCCCAGGTGCCATCAGGTCCCCACGGCCCGACGAGCTGGAGGATTTATCTATCTACCAGTGCCCCAGGTGGAGACAGGAGCCAGGCACAGAGAAGTTAACACTGTGAGTTGGGGGCCCGCAGAAGCAGACCACTCACCGAGCCCTGGGGCAGGAAAGGAGGCGCTGCGTTCACTTTTTAAAAATACGATAGTTCTGTCTTGGCTGCACTGGGTTTTAGTTGCAGCACACGGGAGCTTTAGTTGCGGCATGTGGGATCCAGTTCCCTGACCAGGGATCAAACCCAGGCCCCCTGCACTGGGCATATGGAGACTTAGTCACTGGACCACTGGGGAAGTGCCTGCATTCACTTTTGAGCCCTGCCTAGGATGGAAACCGGTACCAGAGCCGGGACCCAGCCCCCGGTCCAGCCTCCTCAAGTTTCAGCCTACTCTCCTTCCGTCCCATCCCCTGTCATCCCCACCTGGCTCCAATGTTTATTGGCCTTATTGGCCATGTGAAACCAGAAGCCAGCCAGTTAACTAACCTCCAGCATCAGTCAGAGTCCTGGCAGGAAACAGAATTGCCCCCAGATGACTCACAGGAAGAGACGTAATGAAGGTGAAATGGGAGTAGGAATAAATACTTTACGCAAGGACAGCAAGGTCCCCAGCGCCTCTAGGCTGAGGACTTGGGGAAGAAAAAATGTCACCAACTCCAACAAGTGCTGAGTCGTAGAGGACGGGTCAGCTCGGCAGGAATTGTGGTAGCCAAGGATAAAGGAGGAGGGAGGACGGAGCTGAAACGCCCTGCCCTCTCTCTCCTCTGCCCTCCCACCATATCTGCAGCTGGAGCCTCCTTTCGGCCAAACCCAGCTGGAAGCCTGGGGTGAGGGAGCCAAGAGGTGCCTCTTGGGTCCAGCCTCCCAAGGGCACCAAGCTGGGTGAAGAACTCATCTGAAGGGTCGGACAGAATACCCTGTGTGCCCGCCAAGCCTTGATTTCTCCATCTGTAAAGTGGGCATAGTAATACTTCCCTCAGAGGGTGGTTGTGAAGAATTTGTTAAGATCATGTGTGCCTGACACGGAGAACACCCTCATCAAGTGTAACTTTATTAGGATGATGTTATTACTGTCAATGTTATGCTTCTGCCTCTGTCCCTGAGTCATCACTCGGGCTTGGGGAAATCGTTCCTCCTCTCTCTCCTCCCGCTCCCTGACCAGGTCAGGCCCCCCATTACACTGGGGAATGGCGTACCTGGCTCTGACGCAGGCCACTCTGGTTTGTATCCGAGCACAGCCACGCAGCCGTGGACACACTGGCTGCTTGCTCGCTGTGGCGGCAGAGTTGAGGTTGAGACAGAGACCCTGGGGCCTGCAAACCTAAAATGTCTAGTGCCTGCCGGTTTCCAGAGCCTGCTGACCTTGCGTTGCACCCTCTTGCAGCTCTCCGTGCTTCAGGGCACTTCCCTTGTGGAAACGCAACAGCTGTCTGTGCTTCTCTGTCCCGTGTCTGCCTTCCCTGGGCCTGGAATTCCCAGAGCCCCGCATGTGGGGAGCTTGGTCTCTGGGCTCCCAGCTGGGCCTGTGGGCACCTGGTTCTCCGGCTGCCTGCTGACTCCATGCTCCTCCCAGCGAAGTGCTGAGGCCAGCAGACCTCGGTACCCAGGAGCATCTGCCACTGACTTTCCACAGCTGCAGCTCCAGCCTGGAAGCGGGGTGTTAAGGTTTTCATGGACCATCAGAGGACCCAGGAGTGTTTGGAAGGTTTTAGACACACTCAGGGATCCTGGCTTCCCAGCCTCGGCCTTCAGACAGCAGTGGGGACCTGCGGGGTCCCATGCGGGTGGGACAGAGGGCAGCTTCAGGGAGGTCTTCCATGTCTGGCAGTTAGATGGGGCTGCGTGGCAAAAGCCTGACCAGACCAGGGACAGGAATGTGCCTCTTGCAGTCCCAGGAATGGGAGGAACGCAGCCTCCCTCGACTCCTCAGGAGGGGGCTGGGGCTACAGCCCCGGGCTCTTTCCAGCCAGCAGGCACCCCCACACCTGCCAAGGAAAGGCCCCAGGAGAGTCCGTTCACTGGAGGCTTCACATGCCAGGGGCCAGCTGTGAGCCAGGCCCCCCGAGGTGCCTGGAGAAGACCTGCCCTCGTGGGCTTCGTTCTCGCCTTAGCTGGGGAGGCAGGCAGCAGACAGCGTGAGGAAGTGATGGGGCACAGGGAAGAGCAGTCCCAGGAGGCCAGCATGAGCTGCCTGACCTCGCTCTGGCTACACTCGCTCGCCGGCTCAGCTCGCCGGCCCTGCCCGGGAGACGCAGGTTCTGTGTTGGACGCAGCCCTCCGGTGAGGTCTCTGGGGCCTCGGTTGGTGTCAAGGTGGTCCCCCGAGCTGCAGCTGCACCCTGTGTCCCTCCGATGCCCCCACACCCCCCTCTCCACCCCCGGGGAGCAGCCGTGCCAGAGGCTCCGCACGAGCAGATGGACAGACTGTGAGAAAGGAAGTGGAGAAACCTTCTCAGTTTCTGGTCTGGGGAGAAACAAGGCCAGGAATGCCACGTTTTCCATTTCCCCCCATATGTAATGTTTAGCTTATATAAATGAACTAATATTTTCCTGGAGAGCAAAAATCATAAAGAACGTTGACCCCAAGAGAGAGGGCAGTTGGTGCTGTGTGTGCCTTGGAACCGGTGAAGACATTTCCAGATCTCGTGAGCCCCGCCTCCATGTGGCTGGACCAGCTGACAGTTTTTCTCTGAAGATTCCTTGGCAGCAAAGCAAGTCCATGGAGAAGCTCAGGCTGGCCGCAGGTTCCTGTACCTTCAGGACTGCTCGCCAACACACCTTTCTGTCTTCCTTCTGTTGCGCAGTGGGTAAAAGCCAGGCAGATCTTGGAGTTGGGCAGACCTGAGTGCAGGGCCGGCTCCAGCGCTTCCTAGCTCTGGGGCTGGGCGATCCATGTGGTCCCTCTGAGCCTCGGTGTTCTTATTGGTGAAATGGGAATAGGAATAGCTACATACTTTGGAGAAGGAAATGGCAACCCACTCCAGTATTCTTGCCTGGAGAATCCCATGGACAGAGGAATCTGGCAGGCTACAGTCCATGGGGTCTCAAGAGTCGGACATGACTTAGCGACTAAACCATCATAAATACTTCATGTTGGCTTACTTCATGGACTGAGGCTGGGCCGGAAAAACCCTTAGACAGTGCCTGGCACCTGCTTACCATTCAGGAATGTTCGCTTCTGGCCCTTACAGGCTCTGATGCTGACTGGATAGAGGGACAGCATGGCATGGCCAATGGAGCACTGGATGGGGGACCAGAGGGCCCTCACCTCAGCTCCAGCTCACACTCAGCAGCTGTACCAGGTAACTCTGGCCGCATAACCTGCCACCCCAGGACCCAGTAACAAAGTGGCCATTTTGTTACATGTACAGACTTTCAGGCTAGGAGGTTGGACAGGGCACAGCCAGGCTGGCTTGTCTCTGCTCCATGACAACTATGGTCTCAGTGGGAAAGACAGGAAGGCTAAGAGGGACTGGATGTTGGGGCTGGAACCGTCAGGACGTGCTTGGTGCTGGCTGTCAGCTGGGGCGGAACCTAAAGGTCCACATGGTGTCCGGTGTGGCCTGGGCCTCCCTGGTGTATGGGGTCCTCAGAGTCGTTGAGGTCTTGCATGGTATTGCTCTCCAAGAGCAGAGGTCATCAAAGCATCATGGCATCTGTGTGACCCACCTTTCTGCCATGCTCTGTAGGTCAGTTCGGTTCAGTTCTGTCACTTGGTCATGTCCGACTCTCTGTGACCCCATGAACTGCAGCACTCCAGGACTCCCTGTCCATCACCAACTCCCAGAGTTTACTCAAACTCATGTCTATTGAGTCAGTGATGCCATCCAACCATCTCATCCTCTGTTGTCCCCTTCTCCTCCTACCCTCAATCTTCCCCAGCATCAGGGTCTTTTCAGATAAGTCAGCTCTTCACATCAGGTGGCCCAAGTATTGGAGTTTGAGCTTCAGCATCAGTCCTTCCAGTGAATATTCAGGACTGATCTCCTTTAGGATGGACTGGTTGGATCTCCTTGCAGTCCAAGGGACTCTCAAGAGTCTTCTCCAATACCACAGTTCAAAAGCATCAGTTCTTCAGCGCTCAGCTGTCTTTCTGTAGGTCAATGCAATCTCAAAGGCCTTTCAGGCCCAAGGAGAGGGCAGGGAGACTGAGTCCTCAATGAGAGTGTTAGAATTTGTGGACCTGTGTTAAAACCAACCACACCAGCTGGTTCACGGTAGGGAAACAGGTTAGAGATAGTAATAGCTGACACATTTGAGTGAGCACTCTCTGCCAGACACTACTCTAAACCCGTCCCATGTGCTTGCCTGGTGAACCTACACCTACCTTGTGAGGTGGGTGTACCTGCCCTATAGGCAAAGGCTCTGGGTTGCTTGCTCCCCCCATCTCACACCTGGAGGAAGGGGCAGAGCCAGTTGCTGAGCCCAGGGGTCTGGAGTGGCTGTGGCCTGTACCCAGCACAGGGAAGAAGCAGGATGCACCAGAGGGCCCACAGTTCCCTGGGCTGTCCATCATCAGTGCAGTGCAGGAAGCGCCCTGCCCTGGGTGACCACCTTGGCACACCCATGATGTTGCCACTGACACTGTGAGTGGCGTGCTGTCCCAGCGTGGTCCTTAGGAGGCTGGGTCTGTGTAAGAGTAGATTCTAAACATGCTTTGGCATTACCTCTCCTTCCCTTGCCTTGTCTGGGACCTCCCGCTGTGGCTGTGGAGTCGGGGTGTTGCCATCCCCCCATTTTGGACTTCTCTCTACCTTCCTCAGCTAGCTAACCTCAGGGTCTGGTTGCCAAGAATGGTGTGGGCTCAGTGTCGACTCCAGGTGCTGTTTCCTCTCATGGGCACTTTCATGGGTTTTCCAGCGACCCCACAGCCCCTTGACCTGAGCAGATGCAGGTCTTTTCCGGGGGGCACTGCATGGGCCCTCAGCCAGTGCCCACAGCATTTCTTACTGCTTTAAGTCCCCTCCAGCCCCCAGCTCCACTCACAGGGACCACCTTGGTTCATGGGAGGCCGCACCTGTCCTGGCCCAGATGAGCCTATGAGTGTAGCTAACCCTGGTGTGGCCACAGCCGTGTGGACTCTAGGCCTGAGGGAGGCACTCGGAGTCCCCTGGGTCTCCCAGCTGCTGGGGACATATAGCAAGCTCCTCGAGTGGCCTGGAGACCCTTCACTGTGGTCGAGAAGAGTGAGAGAGCACCCCCATGGGTGAGGGCAGTGACCCCTTCTTTCTGCCCTCATATTCTCAGAGTGGGTAGGGGGCCCTAGGTGAGGGACTCAAGGGACAGGGAACCAGTTTTTGCTGGTTCCCTCTGGAGTTCATGTCTGCTTTGTCCTTGGAGTCTCCCATCCTAGCCCCTGAAGGTCAAGGTCAAGCGGAGGAGCCAAGACTCAAAGCTGCTGCCCTGCTGCAGCTGGGAACCTGAGCCTCTGGCTGCGAGAACAAAGCATCCGGGCCTCACTGCAGTTGAAAGGTGATCGGATGCCATATTTCAGAAGGAAGTGAACCGGGGCAAACCAAGTGACATGTGAGATAGAGCCTGGCTCGCAGTAAGGACCCGTAAGAGTTGCATGTATGAGAAACAAAGAACGCGTGTGAACGTAAAAGTCACCGGCTCCCAGGCTCCACCAGGAAACCTGGCCAGAGAAGGCTTTCAACACAAACAGGCTTTCCTCTGCAGAGGGGCCCCCGGGGCCCAGAGCGCTCAGGGCTCTGGCAGACCCGGTGAGAGCCCCAGTGTGGGAACAAAATAAAATGGAGAATGAATGAAACACAGGAATGAAATGGGGAGATACGGAACCCCTTGCAGTTGAGGGGGACATGGGCCCCACACCCCAGACGCTCAGGCTGGTGCTCTTGAAGCTCAGGATCACAGCAGCGGTCATCCTTGCCTCCAGGGATGATGCGGAGGCTCAGAGCCCGAGGAGAATGGACCCCGGCTCCCCGCTCAGCCCCGAGCCGAGGCTGGATGGAACGCGAGTCTTGTGACTCCAGATTGAGTCGTTTCCCTCCGACACAGCTGCCTCCCATTAATCTCCGATGTGCGAGACTTGGAGCGCAGCCTGTAAGCAGCGGCCGGGCTGCCAGGTTGCTTGAATCGGGCAGCGCTGACCCAGGGCAGGACCGCTCCGATGCCGCCGGGACCCGTGGGAACGAGGCTGTCTGTCCTGGGTGCGTGTCCTCCTCAGCAGAGCCATGGGTACCATGCCGGTGCTCTCGGCACATGCCGCTGGCGCTCCAACTGCCCACCCAGCCCTGGCTGGGCATGGGGACACAGTCCCTGCCTCCTGGGATGGGGGGTGGGGATGGACAGTCAGCAGGAAATCACACACAACTACTTAGCTTCGGATGAACGGGTGCCATAAAGGCCGGGCGTGGGCCAAGTGCACCCAGGACGATGGGGTGTCACCCTCTTTGTGAGAACTTCCACCTTTGGGGCTGTGAATCCTGCACCACGCAGGGCCCTGTATCTCAGTGAGGGTCTAATTTAACCCCTGAGGATGGGAGGGGTCTCCAGTTCGTTTCTTTCTCTTCCAAGAGAAACGTACAGAAGGAACAGGAGGCACTGGGGGTGTTTCAGGCGTGTCCCCTGTGACCCCCGTGGGTGGGCAGAGGAGGCCCGTGGCCCCCGCCCCAGCGTGGTCCCAGCGCTGGCTGGCCGGCCAAGGCCGCCTCTGAGAAGAGGAAGTGACGGCTGAGACTGAGGCTGCCGAGGACAGAGTAGTGTGTGGCTTCTGAGCCGCCTTCCTTTAGAACTACAAACGGAGCACAAGGTCACTTTTTTCCACCGCTCACCAGCCCCTCGCCCCAGCAAAGCTCCTTAACCCTTCCAACTGCAGGTGCCACATCATAACATTGAGATGCTGCCAACAGGGCTTGTGAGGCAGTGTTACTGTGATGCTGACATCAGATCCTCTGTCCAGAACATTTAGCACAGTCTCTGGCCCCTGGTCGGAGAAGACAATCTCTGTACTTCAGTACTCTTGCCTGGAAAATCCCATGGACGGAGGAGTCTGGTAGGCTGCAGTCCATGGGGTCGCTAAGAGTCGGCACGACTTCACTTTCACTTTTCCCTTGCATGCATTGGAGAAGGTAATGGCAACCCACTCCAGTGTTCTTGCCTGGAGAATCCCAGGGACAGGGGGAGCCTGGTGGGCTGCCGTCTATGGGGTCGCACAGAGTCGGACACAACTGAAGCGACTTAGCAGCAGCAGCAGCAGCTGGCCCCTGGTAGATTCTCAGTGAATGTCACCCATTACCATCACCAGCTCTGGCACAGTCGTGATAGTTATCCCATTGATGTAGTTATTGCTATTACCGTGTTTCTTCATTTTTTCCTATCAAAGCAGGTGTCTTTCCTGGGTGTAATTATCTGGATGCTTGTCTCTGTCCCCACTTGACTGTGACTCCACGAAGGCAGAGCGTCAGCTAATTCAGAGTGGCTGGGCCGCACCCCTCTGGGTGTTGTTAGGAAGGAGAGAGGCCAGCGCTCTGTCCTTTCCTTCTCGCCAGGGCGCTGCCAGGCCGGCTTAGTGCCCCTGTCTTGCAGACGTAAAATTCACGCTCAGAGGCGTGAGGTAACTCGCCCAAGGTCGCTCCACTGGGAGGTGGCAGGTACCAGTGGGAGCGCAGGCCTGTCTGCCTCTGGGTCCCACGTTCTTTGCTGTTGCCATTCATCATCCTTGATCCCGCCCACTCCAGAGCCCTTGTTAGAAGGCTCTGTGTTCTTTTCTCTTCCAATCAGTCAGTGGTCTGTTGGGCAGCATGTTGGTTTCTTGAGAGAAGTGTAATGAAAACCAGATTTTGTTCATGATATCTTGTTCCCCAATGACTGTCAGTTCTCATATGTTCCAATAAAACTGCTAAAGAAACAGCCACTTAAAGATTATTCATGGAAAAATTATGCTGAGGAAAAATAGAGCAATCCTCTGAGATAGTCAAGCCGCGTGGTCAGTTTTTCCAGCTGCTCGTGCCATATCGGGCTGGGCAGTGGGGACCACACTCCGCTAGGGCAGGCCAGAGCCCCAGCCCATTATCACCGCCCCCGCCCCGTGGACACAGAGGAACAAACTTGTCAGCCACCCAGCTCCAAACTGGTCCCAGAAGACACGTGTCCTGGGTGCTGTCACATGGCGCCCTCACCCCACCCCAGGCCTGATGGGGCTGGCACGTGAGGCCTTTCAGTAGCAGAATGTCACTTACTGGCAGAGAGGCCACCACTCCCACCCAGCCCCCACCACCCCGCCCAGGTCCCAGCTGAATGGAAATTCTTCTGCTTCAGCGTCAAAGTCCTGCTGTTGGTC